AGAACTCATGCTACACCAATGACATTGTGTTAATAAATAATACAACCTACACCAGGGTGGTTTGCACTAGACAAGTATATATAAAATATACAATTTGAATGAAATTGTTAATCAAGCATACCAGCAAGTCTGGGATGTGAAGATATTTGGCTAGTGAGAGATCACCAACAGAAGAATTATCTATAACATCGAAACGCATGCGTCTAAAATCCACTACAATAACGTAGTAGTGCCCAGCTTGAAGTATTGGAAAAAGGAACTGCAACACACGAAAGTTAAGCACAACCGTATGCGGTGGAAAATGCAGGGGAAAAAATAAGCACTAACCATATCAATGTCGCCCCAGGAATTAAAAGGAGACGTGTTCAACTCCTCTACCATGCAATCCGTAAACCACTGCAAACGCCGACCAAGTGGTGCAGAAATGTTTACAACTGTGTACAACTGATTCATGCGAATACAAACAAGTTAACACCACTAACCAAGACATACCAACAACTGGAATTAAAACAAGAGTCCATAACTCACCGTAGTCGTAAGCGACACCAAGAGCCTCGAGGGTGAACCACGAGCCCTCAATATCTCCTTATAATTCAACACACACGCCTAGGCATTTAGTATGCCCACAAGCACTTCCTGACCTTCAAGTAGTGAACAAAATTCTTCCCTCCGTGCAGAACGGCCACTATATAGAAACAGCTCCTCATCCCTGTACATGAACAGACCACGGGCGGTTGGAACCAACTAAAGCGGAAGAATTGATGAAGTGAATGTAGACTGCAAAAAAAGATGTTATACATGTCGCTACGTCTGGATCTAGCAACCCAATCATAGATTGCCTGCGCATCGGGTGCGTTGACACTTGGGGCGAGCGTGGCACGTGCACGTGTCCGGTGATCGTATGAATTCAAGTCAAGCATTCTCAATGCAGGTACGTTCCCAGCTGTTTGACGCTGCTGCTTCACAGGCGCAGGACACCGCGGTGTATTACATACGACCATAGGCGGTTTCAATACTGGTATACGTTGCTATGAAACCAGAGGAAGACAGATAAACATCGGGTGATTTAAAACTAGTTCCTATGAATGAACAGACAACATTTACACAAACTGCAGTAAGATGAAACGTACCTCCCCCGGAGTCAGCTTAGTTGCACTCCCCCCCGGAACACCATCGTGCCGTGTCCTTTTGTGGCCCCCTCCAATACGTGCTCCCAGGCTTAGTGATGAAGGCATACGGGGAGCTGATACTGGGTGAGAACGAACCTACATACATGGAGGAATATCAGTCTGAAGAAATAAAAATAACCAGACCCTCACGCCAAATGACAATCTGTGCGCCGCACACACCCCATATGTGTGGCGCACAACAAGATAGCCAAAGCCTAAAACGCACATACCCAATATGGGTGATGCTCTCAGCCACCATAAGGTTATTACGCACATGCCCAATATGGGTGATGCATCTCAGCCACCATAAAACGCACATACCCAATATGGGTGATGCATCTCAGCCACCATAAGGTTATTACGCACCTGCCAGCACCCCCCCTCCCTACAAACGCTGACACAATCATGTGATATCGCACGTCATGCGATACCTACAATGTAAAATTGATGTTTGTACTTACTAAACCACATGGGGCGGATGACCAACCACGAGGCATGACATTTTGCGTACGTACGTCATATTCAAAGACAATAGCATCCACCACCTCCCAACATTGGGTTGGCAGATCTTGAGACAATCCAAATCCGACCAGAGACGTATCCTGAGTCAACCCAAGACTAAACGAAGGAATGTCCGCATCAGCCTATGGGCGACAATAAACCAGTCACAAAACTAAAATACAGAATCATTAACATACAAAATATAAACACACGTGAAATGTTTAACCAAAATAATTCCATCCTGCCAACATGGTTACACATACATGCACCACCGTGCATACTCCCGTACAGTTCAAAAGCGCAACAAAAATACCTACGGGTAAAATAGCTCAAAAAGGAACATACTAGAACCATAACTGAATAAAACAACAAGCTAAAAACGCCTAGCCTTTCTGCGCCGACGTACAACCTTACTTACAGCTTTTGGCCTACCCACTCCAGACACAACCTCCGATGGAGCATCACCACCTGTCTCCACGCACGGAGCGGTGTCAGATCCTGCACATGCAGTACGGGGAGAAGATGGAATCTGCTGTGTAACTGGGGGGGGGGGGCGGCAGTTCATCATCGCGTACTTTTTCCTGCTGGGCGGCTGTAACAACCGCGTCAACTGCATCTAAATTTGCCGGGTTTTCCCAAATCTCATCATCGGTGAGTGCGCCAGCCACCGTCGCATCGTCGGTACCTGCTGCACCAGAGGGCCCCACGTCATCAATCACCTGCATGAATTTCCGAGCCCCTGAAATTAGCCTATCAAAAGCTTCCGCAGGCCGAGGGAGACCGATATGCTTATCCATGAACTCAATCATGTCCAACAGAGCTAGAGCTAGTGCATTCGTCTTTTCAGCGTATATCTTTGCCTCAGTCTACAAATTTGTTAAGTAAAACAAAGAAAAGAACTCAGCAAATCAAAAACTAGTTGATCCTTAACATTATTTAGACCAATAGAACAATTAAATCTCATGTAACATAAGATGTAAATGCACAAACAAAAAATATATATGCACATACTGCAACAAGTAACCCAACGCACATGATACAGATAAAAAAATGCTAAAAAAAAGTATAAATTTAGCAACGAAAAACCCTAACTGCATGTTTAAGCTAATAAACACAATCGTATAAACATACTAAATATGCACATTTTGTAATGCAGTCGCACAGCCACTTCTACGCACATGCACATTAATATGCACAAACATAAGAGTGTCTATGCACCAGATATATAATATGCTACTGCACATACCTTCTAGTTGCTTAAACTATATAGTAAATGCAAACCAATTTAACCATTTATCTAACAAATGCATTCGCATTGGAGCTGATACGCACATACCCGTTAATATGCACTAACATAAGATTATCTATGCACTTGCTAAAAAATGCAATAAAAAATATACTAACATGCAACGCGCACAGACACTAACATCTAAACGCATAAACTATGTATTAATCTACTGCATATTTCATCTAAAAAATCAGCAACGAAAAGCCCTATGTATTGCTATAAGACGAAACTACAAAATATAAATCAAGACCAATAATGGGAGCGGTCCAAAATATTGGAACAACAAAAAATAAATACCTTGGCAGGAGCATCGCCAACTATTAGATGATCATCCCCCACTGCATTAGGCACCTACAAACATAAACAGTTTGAGGACCAAACTACCTCACCACATACACTACAAAAGATAAATAGGGAACAAACATACCTCCATAATATATGGACCAAATACCTCACCACGGCCAAATCCACCACTCCTGAACTCCTCAAGTTCCCTAGCCTTCAACAAACTCGTTGACCATCCCCGTAAAGCTGGCAAAGCCCAAGGCACAACCCTCTCACCATGAACCAACATATCCACATAAAGAAGCTAATAACAAGACACGTATTAGTGTTGTTACCACATGAAACACGTCTCTTGTGTATACAGGATATAACTAATCTAACTAATTGTGAAATCCTTACCAGTAAGAATACATAGGGTCTAGTAAATGGCTGTTTTGTATCCTTAGTCCACGTTCCATGTCTATCAACCAAACAATCAATCACAAATTTGCACCAATTTAGATTCTTAATCCCATCCACGTCCTCGAAGTGGTGGAACACACGCTGATTGGCATAACCATTCGTCATGGGCGCAGCCAATGTGCTAATCGCCAACACAGAAAAATTCCTCTTGAACTCTACGTCGCCCTCGAGGTTCTCCCGTAACCTGGTAGAAATCATAGGCAAAGTAACATCATGGATTGTCTTCTCAAACAACGAGCGCCACATCTTTAAAGTATCACTAATGTCGTCCTTCTTCCATTTAGTGATCACAACGTCTCCACGCGGCAACCCCAACACAGCATTAACATCAGCCTCCGTAACAGGAATGGTATAACCATTTTCAACCCGCAAAACCTTGGCTATAGGATCGAAGTTCGTGAGCAACAACCTGGCTAACAACTTGGGGATGTCCATCAAGTCCAGGTTCAGAAGCTCCCCCAATCCTATCTCTACTACGGCTTTCTTCTGGCAAGCGTTGAAACGCTTCATAGGCTTAACGAGATGCCTGATAGAAGCTCTAATCTTCAATTGCGGGAACATATTAACATCAACCTCGTCAGGCACACTATCCGGCGCAGAGTCAGCGGGGGCTTGGGCCACTTCGTTCTCTTCATGTGGTGCCAAAGACGGCACGGGGTGGTGTTCTTTGACAGGGAGATCAGGATGTAAAGGTGCAACCGGATTGGCTACACCATCGGGGGGGGGGGAGGGGGGGGGGACGCCGTGACCTGCATAAATCGAAAAACAACACTGTTTAACCGTAAATAAACAATATAAATGCAATATAAACATAGATAAATCTGCATTTAACATCCCAATCACACACCATTATACCTATCCAAATTAAAACAAATACAAATCTGAAGATGCACTGCGCATATACTATACCCTATAAAAGCACAAACCACATACACACCTAGAAAGCATAGTAATGCACCTACCATAACGGATATATATGCACAGACTTAATAAAACAAAAAGAACACTAAAATCACATAATACAGACTAGAACTGGACATGCACATATAATATATCTGGTGCACATAATATATATTCCCAAAAATGCACAAACCTTAAAACGCACGACCAAGGAACCCCATGGTATGATAAATGAAAAAGATGTTTACAACACACTGCATCACCCTAAATAAACTTTATAAATGCAAAATAAAGATAGATAACACTGCAGACCAAGCATTGTACCTATCCAAATTAAATCAGATCAAAATGTGAGAATGCAACACGCATATACTATATTCTATAAAAGCACAAACGACATACACATCTACAAAGGCATATAGCGACATACTAATTAGCGAAAAAAATGCACATACCACAACATCTAAAATGCACAAAAATGTGCATGGAAAGGATGTTAACATGGATACAATGAACGTAATTAAAGCTAACAAGAAATGCACTCGCATAGTCACTACTACGCACATACCCATTGTGCCACATCCCCTTAATATTCTTTCTTTGAAAAATAAGGGGTATGACACACTGCATTAAACTACAAACAAATGAAGAATTAATATGCACAAAAATTAAAATTACAAAACAACGATACTAAATCTACGCAATCATGTTTGAACATATACAACGCAACTACATGATCCTCTATATACACATACTAATCAGAACACACATACTATATACCTACAATGCATTTTCCTACATACCAATCACAAACCATTATCCCTATCCAAGTTAAAACAACCATTATACCTATCCAACTTAAAACAATTAAAAATGTGAGAGTATATTAACGCTTTGAGTCTTTCCATGATGTTAATAGCATAGCAGAGTCCCATAAACCAATCAAACTAAGCAAATTATGAGTGAAATTACAGTGAACAAAAAAAAAAAAGAACTAAATCAGCCGGATAAAAAAAATGAATGGCCGGCGGATAACACGTTTCCGTCGGAAAATCAACACCACCACTGATGGACAATTTTTAATAAGTCCTCGCAAGTGCACGAGTCATTTGTAGTAGTAGCGTGCAATAGCAAGGGTCGAACCCACAAGGAATTGTATGATGCAATTTAATTACTTAAAAAGAGTGTGAAGCGAGACTTTAACATAAAGTTTTAATTGCAGTAAATTAACAAAAACTGGATGATTTAAGGTACTAGATACGACCAAATGTCAAAGGTAAAAGATCAATAAAACTGAGAAAATAAACAATGAAATCAAACCAGAAAGCAAAACAACAAATAGGTTTAAACGACAATCAACGTGGATTAAACTAAATGGAAACCCAGTGAAAAATAAGACAAGAAAGATAATAGACTATCCAGGAACACGAAACGAAACAACGTGGAATAAAAGCCAGGAACATGAATTAATTATCACTAATACTTTCGCAAACTACTTTAACTTGCCATTAAAATTAAAATCAAGACATCAATAATTCAAGTATGTGCCAAAAATCATTATGCTCAAGAAATAACAGTAGTCTCAAAGCATTAAATATCGCAAATAATCCCAAATATGCGTAGCAGCAGATTACAAATATCAAAGGGAAAAGGTAGGAGAATTAAGAAAGGAAAAGAATGCTTATGCCACTATTGAGAAATAATTTGCTGCCCAATAGAATTGAAGCCACCGACTGGAGAAGAAGCTGCGAGCCCAGAACTTGCCGCCGGAAGAGAATTTCAGCTCGCCGGAATTCGACCGGAATTGCTCCGGTGAATTTTTTGACGATCCACTTGATGTCTTCTGTCCTTCATTTATAATGCTCACGGTTTAGACTTCTCATCAGATTTCAGCGCTCAGCGATCGGAACTCCTCACAAAATTAACAACAATTTCTTTCGATGCGGAACAGACGCGAGACCAATTCAACGCCTTCTCAGTGCTTTGTTTGGAGCTTTTGCTAATAAATCCCCTGCCTTGATCCAATTGCTACGGAGTCCTCGTAATACGCTAATCATATTAAAACTCCAATTCTACGGTAAAATGGATTTCAACAATCAACATGCACTGCAAAACTAATTCTCACATTTTAAAGCCTTAATCAATTAGAACCCAAATTAATTTTTTAATACTACATACTGACTAAACTATTATTATTATTATTATTTTATTATAAGTAATTAATATAAGTAATATTATTACTACTTATAAATATTAGATAAAAAGCGTAAATATTCAAAAGAAAAGCATTATTAAATTATAACGATTATTCAATAAAACATTACTAAATTATAACAATTATTACATTAAACGTTATAAAATAAAGTACAAAAATTGTATTTATCAACCACAGACATGCATCCCCAAAACCCCCCAAAAAACTCCATTGTTAGAATACACATTGATTAACCAAAAAAAAAAACTTGAATCATAACCCAAACCCTAACCCGTAACTACCCAGTCCCCGCCTCCCAGAGACCCAAAAAAAAAAGAAAAAAAAAAAGAAGAAAATATCCGATGGACGCCGGATAACACGATTCCGCCGAAAAATCACCATCATCAAACACATGCAACACACCCCTAACATCCCATTCGAATTACTTGACTACAAATTACTTGACTACAAAACCACAAAACCCCCCAAAACCCCCCATTGTTAGAATAACATATGATAACCCAAAAAAAAAACCTAAATAATAACACAAACCCTAAACTGTACCTACCCAGTTCCCCCTCCCATCCCGCCTCCCAGAGCCGGCGGTCCAGACACCAAACTCCCACAGAAGGAACACACAAAACCCCCCGAAACGGGGATTGAAAAAAAAAACAATAGCAAAAAAGGGGGAATTGAGATTACCTTCATTGAAAACACCGTTTGACCTCCGTTGCCTCTTCGATCGGCGGACAGTAGACCCAACCATGTTGAACGCCTGAGTTGTGATGGAGAGAGAGACAGTGATGGAGAGCGAGAGTTGTGATGGAGATGGAGAAAGACGCAAAAGAGTTGTGATGGAGAGGGAGAGTTGTGATGGAGAAGACGCAGAAGACGAAGAAGGTAAGAAAAGGTGAGAAGGGTCAGAAGCTACGCAGATTTTCGAGACAAAATTAAATACACGTTATAATTATAGTAATTGCGAAAATTACAAAACAATCCCTAATGTACTCTTAAGTCTGATGCACGTGACAAAAATGCCCAATTCATCTGGACCATTCATCTACACTAATTAAGGGTCAGAAAAGGTGCTCACGAGCTCATCTGCCAAGGGGGTGTGCACCGGATCCAAAATCTATATATATATATATATATATATATATATATATATATATATATATATATATATATATATATATATATATATATATATATATAGGGTGCGGATCCCATGAGACCCCTATATTAAAATGAGATGGTGAGATGACATCTCATCCAATAGTACATTTGTAATGGATGGATGAGATTGATTTAGGAATGTAATGTAAAATAGGGAATATTATTAATAGGAGGGTTTAAAAGTAATTGTATTAATGTGTTAATTTTGGTTATAATGTGATTAGAATCTTTTCCATAATTAAATATCACAAGTATAATAGAAATGATTAGTTGTCAACTATGCACAGAAGTTGTTGGAGCCCAACCGTGAGCAGTAAGAGGGTGTTCCGGACGTAACTTCAATCGACGAACATGTCTCAAACCACAGGTAAGAGATTTGCAGACTCAATTTTTGTAATCTGTTTTGTACAGTGGTCTGTGCAGCCAGGTTGTACGCGTGTGCTTCGTTTTGTTTGTTCGGTGTGGGCATTGTTATGTGTTGGTGGATGTATTTATATTAATATGCGAGGGGAACACGCAGCATTTAGGGGGTTTGTGTGTGTTTTTACTGGAGTGGGTGGGATTTGGTTTGTGGGTGAATTTAGGTTTGTGCGTTCGTTTAATGCGGCGTGTGCACCTTACCCATTCGAATTAGAATGGCACGAGGGAGGGCCGACAAACTTCGACAACTGACTGATGTGATAGAAGATTTTCAAGGGCAAATGCGCGAGGATGGACAGGAAGGGAGTACAATAAACAGGAAACAGACAGTTATGGAAACATATTATGGTGTGCCAGCCCCAAACACAATCGTAGTGCACCCCCCAACGGTGGCAAATACGAAAGGGTCTGGGAAGCGAATGAAATCAGCGAAGGAGCTGGTAATGGCGGAGCAAGTAAAGAAAAAACGAACGTGCAAAACTTGTGGTTTGGCAACCGGGCATAATAGTAGGAGCTGCCCACAAAAGCAGTGATGATTATATGTGGTTAGAATTGAACGCACAAAAAGGGAAAAAGATTTTAAATAATGATTTTTATCCAGAACATATGGTTATGTTTGATATTCGCGTTGTGTACACGAAAGTGTGAGTTAAATTTGTTGAGAGTGAAATGTGAACAAATGTTAGCGAATTGGATAATGGACAGGATGACGCACAAGCGTAATAAGTAGCACGCACCAACAAGTATGGGATTACAGTATGGCGCACACACCTCACACCAAGAATGCACACCGCATCACAATATGCAATGTGACGTAAGTAAAAGCTAAGGTGTATTCGATCGATATGATACGAATTAAATGGTGAATACTTAGTGTATTTAAATACAAAGCAGCCAATATATATATATATATATATATATATATATATATATATATATATATATATATATATATATATATATATATATATATATATATATATATATATATATAATGAATCAAAAAAATGAAAACAATCATCCAAAAGTACAATTTTGTAACAGAAATACGCACAAACGTCACACCACAACCGCACGCACATGAAAATGAAAACCGAGCAATTTTTAGACACCCGCATTATCTGGGACGGAACTGTTTTAGTACGATGAATAAATTAGTACTGAGTAACGACTAATGCGGGCAGCGTACATGGGTAATAGTTGCTGCAATGAATGCATTGATACTTAATTATGTAATCGTGTGGACAAATAGAAGCTTAATCATGTGGGAAATTAGTGCTGATGGAGGTTTGTGCATGAAAGAAAAATAGCATAACACAAAAATGACACTTAAACAAAAAAATAGTACGAGTCTGACAACTGTATTCGGCATTGTTCATCTAACAAACGACATACAGTCAAATAAACCGGAAATACTGTAGAACGTTGTCAAAAGCGGGAATAAGTGCAGAGATTAAACATAAAGTGTCTGTAGCAACGGACGATGTTTCACCGATCAATGGGTCCAGACCCCAAGGCAGCGTTGATATTTGAAACACGATGTGAGTTACCATGAAAAAGTAGAATGTCATACATGAAGCGAACGCGAAGGGAGGCCAACGCCCGTGCATCACCTCTACGTAGACCGCAATCCCACGAAGCATACGCTTGCCCAACATACGACTCAAGGTGTCGCATTGCAAACACACCGCAATCCAACTTGTTTTTCGCATCACGCCAAGGGATACGAACCCTACGAGGAATTAATTCAGTTACCTTCATATATAGAGCGGAAACCCCGACATCGTCAAAAAATACAGAGAGCAAATCATGCTGTCGTGGATTTGAAGATTCAACAACTCACCTAAACCCAATTCCACCACAGCTCTCTTCTAACAAGCACTAAACCGCCTCATCGGTAAAACCAAGTGCTTGGGAGAAGCATGAATCTTCAACAGCGGAAATAGTGCCAACTCATCCGCATCTAGTCCATTACCCTCCTCGCCAGAATTCGTGACCGGTGGCGGAACAGGAGGGGCTTCAACATCCGCGAAAGGCACCACATGTACAGTCTCTCCCGCATCTACCGGCTCTGCAGGTATGACACCTAGACATACCAAAAAAAAAATGCACTATGAGCAACAAAATGTAAACACACAACATATTAAAAAATAACCAAACTCCAGATCACCCACTTTTTCTCTCCAACGCATAGACCCGAATCAGGATCTCATCATCCCATTATTACGCACTGGCATAACACTTAAAACGCACCAACCAAATAGCAAATACAGAATTACGCACAGACGTCACTCTAAGAATGCATACACCAATTCCTAGTACAAGATACGGTGAACAATATATATTATAATAAATGAGAACATGACAAGACAATCAAGATTAAAGATACCTTGCATACGAAAAAAACAAAAAAACAAAAAAAAAAAAAAACAAAATATATTTCGGATACCTAAAACAAAACAAACATTAATGAACCCCATCAAATATGACCAACAAAACGCATACACTTCAAATATAAGATTACGCACAAGCCTAGAACGTATATCGCATCAACGAATTAGTAATCACTTTATTACGCAAAAACCTCATACGAATAACGCACACTACTTACTACTACCATATGCTTCACAATATTCGCAGAAATGCTCAGTTGCAAAGGACAGATGATACAGTCGAATGAAAATTCAAAACAAAAACAAGATCCAATTAAAGCAAATATAGCAAATACAGAATTACGCACAAACGTCACTCTAAGAATGCACACACCATTTCTTAGCAAAGGATACGGTGAACAGTATTATATTAAATGAGAACATGCCAATCCAAACACGATTAAAGATACCTTGCATACCAAACAAAAAAGACAAAAAAAAAAAAAAAAAACACACACACACAAACACACAAAATAAAGTTCGGATACTTAAAACAAAACAAGCATTAATAAACCCCAACAAATATGTCTAACGAAACGCACACACTTCAAATATAAGATTACGCACAAGCCTAAAACATATAACGCATCAACGAATTAGTAATCACTTTATTACGCACAAACCTCATACGAATAACGCACACCACTTACTACTACCATATGCTACACAATATCCGGTGAAAATGCTCAGTGGCAAACGACAGATGAAACACTCGAATGCAAATTCAAAACAAAAACAATAGCCAATTACAGCAAATTATGCAGAATCATTCAACCATTTAAGTTTGATATATACAAATTAAATAATAAATTACTCAAACGGGTGGACAAAAATTGAATATAATATAAAATAAGAAAAAACATGAATAAAACACAGTGAACAATAGCCGAAAGTTTAGAAAATAAGAAAAAAAATAAACAACCTGCCAATTAATTCGTTTGTAAAAAATAGATAATATAATGTCGCCCCTACAATTAACATTGTTATTCATCCTACTATATCCACTTCTACACCGCCACACCACACCATTACCCCCCACCACTGTCGACAACCCATCCCACCGCAAAAAAAAACCCAAAGGCCGGGTACATACCTACCGGGCGAACAAATTAAAAACCCTACTACCCCAACACCGCCACGCCGCACCACCACAACCACAAACCATCCCCTGCATCCCACCACCCTCCCCCCCCCCCCCCCCCCCCCCCCCCCCGAAAAACCCCCACGGACCAAAATCCCACCAGAAAACCCCACCCGGACCAAAACCCCACCGGAAAACCAGATACCCACCCAAACCCCCCACCACCATCAACAACCCATCCACCGCAAAAAAAAAAAAAAAAAAAACCAAACCAACCCCTGCATGCCCCCACCCCACCCGTTCGAAAACCCCATCCCCCCCCCCCCCTCCCCCAGAAAACCCTTCCCGGACCAAACCCCACCGGAAAACCAGATACCCACCCAAAAAATACAAGGAAGTCGAAATACCTTGAGTAGACTTGGAAGAAGTACCCCTCCGACGCTTAACATTCCTGCTAGAAGAACCCGCCATGTTCACCACCCACTTGTGCGACTAGAACAGACCGGAAAACGAGAGGACGACACCACTGGGACACCGCTACCGTCGGATTTGGAGAAGCCCTCGAGAGACGCGGGAGGAGAGAGGTGACAAGACTCTGGAAGTGAATCGACAAAAGAAATATGAAGAGTCCAACTCGCAATTAAAAATCTTTAATTGGTATTATCCCATAAATAACACACATATAAACCCCCCAAGCACGCTATAATTATAGAATCTGAAATAATAACACAAGCAAAAGACCACAATGTCCCTACCTCCTTTACTAAACATAGAAAATGGGATTCAAAAACAAAAGATCCAAACCGTTAAAAAATAAAAATAAACGAACCAGATTACATCTCACCGTCTCATCAAAATATGAGTCTCATTGGATCGAATATATATATATATATATATATATATATATATATATATATATATATATATATATATATATATATATATATATATATATATATATATATATATATGAGAGGAGTATTAATAAATATTTTTCTTTTGCTTTTTAAGAGGAGTACAGTAAAAAAGTTTGAAAAAGGCTAGTATCATCATTAATACGAGACTTCTGCCATCAAGATGTTAGCTCCAATAGAGACCGTTACTTTATGTTGTTGTCACACAAAATTATTTTTAAAAAATATATATAAAAAGAAACAAAATAATTTTAAATGCATAGAGTATATCATAATGGCCTATTAATATGATTAATAAAGCATAAAAAATAATCTTGAAATTTATGTAAAGTCGAGTTTCCTTTTCCATTTCTAGTTGTCATCACTGCTCCCCAAAGCTTCAAATTGGCGTTTTTCTTTTCATCATTTCGTAATAGTCAAGCTTCCGCCAGCAGCCGCCACCGTCAATGGCGGAAGAAAAACATGGGAAGAAGAAGAAGCACAAGAAGCCGAAACACCAACACCCCAACGACCAGACCTCGAAGACATCGTCCTCGGATTTCTCGTTCAAGCCCAGCTCCGAAGTGAAGGGTCTCCGATTCGGCGGCCAATTCATCGTGAAGTCCTTCACAATCCGCCGGGCACGCTCGCTGGAGCTCCTCCGCCTCCTCTCCCTTCCGCCGGCGTACGCTGCCGGCGACAACCCGCCGTTCCCCTCGACGGCGGCGTTCCTGCCAACGAATTTCACGATCTTAGCCCACCACGCCTGGCACACCCTCACTCTGGGCCTGGGCACCCGGAAATCGAAGGTGGTCCTGTTCATTTTCGAGTCGGAGAACCTGAAGGCCACCGTGGAGTGCCAGTGGCCGCCTGAGCTGCCGCTGGGGGAGGTGAACAAGAAGCTGATCAGAGGGCTGAGCGGCTGCGACGCCGCCCGGTTCAAGTTCCGGAAGGGGTGCATAACGTTCTACGTTTACGCCGTGAGGAGAAGCGCCGGCGGAGGCCTTCCGGCGGGATTTTCTTGCGCCGACGATCTGAGAACGATTCTCCAATCCGTGGTCGCGCTCAAGGATTTCTTGGATCACACCGCCATGCTCGCTTTGCCCAACCAGAGAAGCATCAACTATGAAGCTCCGCCACAACACGTAGCCATGCCTCACTAGCCCACCACCCCTACCCCCCCCCCTCCCCTTTTTTTTTTTTTTTTTTTTTTTTTTAATATTATTTTTCACCAAATTTTAATATTTAATCAGTTTGTCTAAACAATATTGTTTCCTGAAATTCAGGTTTGTATGTTTTTTTTTTTTGAATGATCTTATTTGTCATTAAATCATTTTTCTTCATTATATTTTATTTTTTCTTTGTTAATTTTATTTAGTATTTTTTTATTGTTTTTAAATTTCATTTGATGTGTTTAATAGTATTTTTTTAATGTAGTTTATATATATATATATATATATATATATATATATATAAATATATATATATATATATATATATATATATATTATATACTAATACTAAACTTAATACTATTAAAAATTAAATTGAAAATAAATTCAGTTAAGCATTGTTGTTAAGCGAATTAAACATATAAAATGGATGGAGGGAGTATTTTAAATATAGAAAGTTCAATTTGAAGATATTAAAGATGTGTAAAAAAAAAATTAATTTAACTAATAAATAAATAAATAAATGATACATAAAACGAGTTAGGGAGGATATATGTGGATGTGTGTTGTTATATCTTACGGGGTCGTATTTTAAGTTTTTGCGGCCCTGTTTTAATAAATAAATGTGGTCCTACCAAAATAACAAATTTTAAAATCAATATATGCAAGTTTCGAACATTTGACCTCCAAGTTAAAATACAAAAAATACACATTCTTACCATCCCTTCATAAAACCTTTTAAATTCAATTGAAAATTTTTAATTTTTATTTCTAAACTAGCTTGGTAAAAATTAAATATTGAATCTCTAAAATTTGGGGGCCCGTGCGGTAGCCCAACTTGCCGGTCTCTATCCAACTCCCTCTACCTTCCTTTCCAATGCTCAGCCTAAAATCCGGTCCTGATATCTTACCCTAAAAAGGCCGAATCCCCAACCCTAAGGGTCGCCCACACTTCAACCCGACAGAGCATGTGGGAGGATGTAAATCACGATGACCACTTTGGACATAATTCCCACACTGCCGTCGCCGAAGTGTGAACCTTGGTCTCTTACCTTAAATATTGCCCACTAAACCATTGAACTAATCCCATGCGGGTATGTGTTGTTATATCTTAATATACTTCTTGTGGTGTTTTCTTAAATAACATAAAATACAATAAACATTTTATTTTGTTAAAAAGTTGGTAGGAAAATGGTTAATTGGTACTACAATTTCTCATTGACTTAATTGTTTTAAAAAACTTCAAATTAGTTTTAACATTATTTTCATTAATGTATAATATTGCACAACAAAAAAAAATAAAATTGTTGTAATTACAAAATGTTTAGTAGGAAAAACATGGAGCATTGGAACAAAAAAGCATAAAATATTAAGACAAAAAATTCTAGTCTAGTAACATCTCCAACGTCTACTGTTTGTAGCAGTTGAAGTCCATTTCGGTGTGACGGTGTCCCAAGCTCTTCAATAACATGAAGATCAAAAGTTAACGAGTATAACTTAGTGTAAGTATTTACTTTCATGTGTAAACAAATATATATATATATATATATATATATATATATATATATATCTGTGTGTGTGTGTGTTTTTTTTATATTATAATTATAGTATTTTTTTTCTTTAGTCAAAATGTGCATGATGCTACAAAGTCCAAAGACTTTGGAAAGGGGGATGTGGATTGCCCATGTCTCCCGGTGAATGGGTTCATCTTAAGACTAACAATAGTTCATCAACATTCAACTATACCTCCATAAAGAAGAAGAAAATTTTTAAAAATAGTAATTTAAAAAGAAAAAAGAAAAATTCACAATTTTAATGGAATCTTTGGAGAATATTCTGCCATGGAAGCAGTCTGATGTCGTACAATTATTTGATGATTGGTTTTATTAGGTATTGACCTAAATCTGCACCAATACAATACATTATCCTTTCTAATTTTAGGGAAAAAAAGCATTTTGTTATTTATTTTTTATTTTAGTCCTCACAAGTCTGAAGTGTTACACTTCTGCGTAGAAATGTACAATCTATACCTTTTTCAATCTATTCAGCTATAAAAATTTAAAAATATAAATTTTAATGTATTATTGATATTATTAGTTTTATTAGGTTTAACCTAATATAAACTTTCAAAATGTGCACACTTAGACAAATTTTATATACGGAGTATAATGTATCATTATTGCACACATTAACTCTAACTATTAAATAATAATGTGCAAATCAATATAACTTATCTTACATATAATAAAGTTATATGGTTTGGGAATTAATTAATGTTACAATTAATTACCAACATTATTATTATTACTAGCTATAAATATAAAATAGCCACAACATCTTTTACTATATAAAAAAAACACAACATTTAAAAAATAAAATAGCTATTTTTTTTCTCGCCCATAGCAAAGGATTATATTTATTGAATTAATGGAGTTATTAAATGTTATGATATTAGGATTAAGGATTCCGATTCCCGATTAATAGAAAATATGAAACGATGCAATATTAATTAAATCTCTGGCTTTACAATGAAAGTCTATTTGATATGCTTTTGTTATTTATGGTGGTACTTGGGATTACAATATTAATTAAATTTTTGATGAAAGCCTATTCGATATCTGAAACAGTGCAATTAATGCAAGCCTCTACATACATATAATTTTTCTCCCTCTCAAATGCTTCAAAGAAATGGCAGAAGCGAGAAGGGATGAAGAAAACAAATGTTGCGGGCCGTGGATCAATTATTGGACTTCAGAATAAAAAAAAAAATAATTATTTAAGCCATAAATAAAAATTTAAATATATATAAATGTATATATCGTATGGGTCTTTAATGTTTTTCTGGATGTCTAAACTTAGGACTTTTAAAAGAAAAAAATACATTTGAATTTCTCCACAAAAAGTGGTCTTGAACTTATAAAATGACATTTGGGTTTATGGAATGACATGTGCATAAAGAAATGTGTTCAATTAGAGTTTAATATACGAACCAATAACACCTCCACTGAGGCTTGAACTCATAATCTTCCAAATGGAAGTACAACCCAGGTATCATTAGACCACATAGTCCCGAGTACTCATAATCTTCTAAATGTAATTATCTTAGTTATATTCATATTGTGTAAATTCTCTCTATAAGTTTATTTGAATATGTACATAATTAGAGATTATATTAACCATACAAAATTTTAATTGTAATTTGTATTCTATAAAAATAATAAATACTTGACCAATGGAAGCTCAAAAATATTATTATATTAAATAATTAAATTTTTTTTATTTTTTTTAATTTATATTGATAATAATATAATTTTTTCTCCGTGCATCACGCAGGTGAATTACTAATTATATTAAACACAAGTATTTAGGGATGTTAATTGGGCCAGCCCACTAGGTTTTGGACTAACCCTGCAGGATTGTTGGGCTTATAGGTTTGGGTTAAATGGTTTTGTTTGGTTTTGTTTTTTTGGTTGGATTAGCCCTAGCCCTAAACTATGGACTATGGGCTTATCCAACGGGATAAATCAATGCCTTGAAATTAAAAAATGCCACACTTATTTTTACATTCAATTCAAAATAAGTTAAATTTTTTATTTTGAATAATTTTTTTTTGAAATAATAATAATGGTGTGTTATTAAATGAGCATAGAAATAGAATCAGGGGGGACAGAGTCCCAGTACAAAGCTTGGTCCTGATCAAAAGCTAACGAAGCTAAAATATGAGCAGCTAAATTTAAAGTTCGAGTGATGTAATTTAAAGAACAATAATCAAAAGACGATATAAGTGTCCTGCACTGGTCAGCAATCATCCCAATGTAGGATAAAGTAGTCACTGTGCTTGAATATATGATGTTCCGTAGCTCCATGCAATCAGTAAGTAGATCCACTTCAAGCATATTGTGGTCCTTAAGCAATGAGAGAGCATCCTTACAAGCTAATGCTTCTGCCATGAGAGGCGAAAAAAACACCAAGCAACTTGCCACATTTTGCCGCCACAAAAGCACCATCGTGGCCTAGCAAAACCATTCCATACGTCGCATCTCCCGTAGCTTGCTTGTAGCCAGCGTCCACCCAACATTTCCTCCTGGCGTGCGTGGAGGGCGTCGACACTACCGTGGCTAGCGCAGGCTGCTGTCGGTGGTGAACCTGGCGGTAGACAGCAGCGGCCAACCGTGCGCATCTCCAAGTTTTTCCCGGTTGCGGCAGTGTTTTGTCCCAAACAGCGGAATTGCGAGCTCGCCATATATGGTATAGCACACCCGCCACCATTCCGACCTGCTCCTCTGTCAAGGCGTTGAAAATACTCATAAGCCATAAGGGAAAAGAATGCACCACAATATTTGTAACAGGTAATTGTGTAACATTCCAAACCCTCCTAGAATAATCACAAGATATTAGAGCATGCATAATATTTTCATGTGCTAGATCACACATTGGACATGTAGGGCTCACTTCTACCCTCTTTATAATCAAATTTTTCAGAGTGGGTAGAATATTACATATAGCTCTCCATAGGAACGTTTTCCATTTAGGTGGATGTTAGGAATATAGCGGAATAATGCGGACGCGAAGAATCGAAAATTAAGAATTATAGAAGTTGAATAATAGGGGAAAATATAAATGACACAAAGAAATAGGAATATGGAGAATATATATATTATATATTATCACTCAAAGAGGATTAAAGAAATTAATATAATATATATATATATATATATATATATATATATATATATATGTATGCTACGTGAAGTAGCTAAAAGGAAAAGATAATGAATGAATTGGTGCATTGAATTACAAGGCTTAGCTAGCTACTTATACAATCCAAAAAGAGAATTAAGTGAGCATGCATGCAATAGCGACGCAATCGGACGAACGTGCAAGATGGACACCATGCGATGCGGATGGTTGAAGGGGGAAAATGTCTTCATGGATGAATTTTAGCCACAAAAATTATGCATGTCTTAACAATCTCCACCTTGGATCAAATTCATCGTGGGAATTAACAATTGAAATAGTCCGACTAAACTCAAGCACTACTTGAACTTAGCAACAGGAAGAACCTTGAGAATAGCAGGATGAATCACCATCAACTTCCTGTGTGACTGAAAGTGCATAAGCAACCATATTGGTTTCATCGTCACTAGCGTACCTAGCAGGTTTTTTAATTGTCCTCCTAGGACGAT